GCTCCTTTTGCATGGGTTATTTTCTTGTTCTAGTAGCTTTGTAGCTGTAGTCAGTGAGAGGACTGATACAAGAAGGTCAAGGCATCAGAAGTGCATCTAAATTTCTCATGGCTGGAGAAAGCACTGTGCTGGACCAAGTCTTGCCTGTTGTCAGCCCGTGTCAGCTGGCACGGCACAGAAAGTGCACTTAGCTGTGGCCTGGGCCTAAAGAGCTGTTGACTAGCAGTATAAAGAGACCTATCTTGGCCAACCCCTGCTTGCTGGTCGGGTGCAGAGAATCACCAGACCTGGGGGTTGGACCTTTTTGTGGGCTACAGAAAGAGTTCCTAGCTAGGCTAGTGACATCTTTATTAATACTTTTAAGAGGTCCTTTGCAGCAGATTTGCCAAGTGCAAGACATTGTTTGATTTCTTGACTACTGTATCTATAAACACTGATAGTAAATGCAAATGAAATAAAATATTTGACTACTTGAATCTTTTCTCATTTATCATAATTTTATTTATTTGTCCAATTGTAAGGCTTTTTGTTTTCTTCACATCGAATTGTAATCCATACTGAAGGCTGTCTTTAATTTTCATCAGCAAGTGCTGATGAAATGATAAAGTTCTATATATCATTCACCATCCTTTTGCTCTACTTGAACAATGAACTTGGACAATAAACACATTTCTATGAGCACAACTAAGTATTCTGAAATTCCCATTCTCTGAAACGCTATTCATAATCTAGGAGGCTAGAAGTCTGGACTCAGGAAACCAGCTCTAGGAAAAGGCTTTCTCTCTGTCAGCTCTAGGGAAAGGTCCTCATCTCTTCTCACCATCTGTCTCTTGGTTCCTTGATGATCTACATGCTTTCCTTCTTGCTTGTTTGTTTGAGCTTCAATATACGTGCTATATTTATGCTGCAAATAAAATTGGCTTAAAACACCCCCTACACTACTATGGTCCCATGAACATAACAAAGAAAAGTCTACTCCCCAAAAGGATTCTATCTGCAAGTACAGGAGTTTAGGACTAATAACATACATTTGGTAGTGATGGGAGGCGGCATAATAGAAAAACAAAGAAAATTGTGTGTGTGTGAAGGATCTCATTGTCTCCAGGGTAAGGAAGCTGCTTAGATAATGCTACATAACTAATCAATCAAAGTGGAGACCATTTGTTTGCTTGCTTGTTTTTGTATGGAAACTTATCAGAGCAAACAACAGTCTCAGTGAGAGTAATCAGCCATGGCTTCACAAAAGAGGTGACACTGATTTGGAGCTTCAAGGATGAGGATGAAGTGACAGGCAAGATATCCAGGACAGATGAAATAAGAAATATTAACCTGCTTCTTAGGGAGAAAAAAAGCAAGGTTGCTATTGATTTGGTTGCCATTGAGTCTGTTCTGATTCACAGTGACCCAGGTGTGCAGGGAGAACTGTTCCTTAGGGTTTTCAAGGTTGTGATCTTCTCTAAGAAGAGGATTGCTGGGCTTGATCTTCCAAGGTATCTCTGTGTAGGTTCAGACTGCCAACCTTCCAGTCAGTATGACAGTCCTTAACCCATTTGTGATACCCAGGGGGTGAAGAGAATGGGACCTTTTATTTCCGTAAAGAGTTACAGTCTTGGAACTCACAGGAGTAGTTCTACCCTTTCCTACAGTCACTATGAATCGTCATCAATTCAATGGCAGTGAGTTTTGAATTTTTGAGTTGTAGACTCAGAAGAAGCCCTGGTAGTATAGTGGTTAGTTGGGCTGCTAACTGCAAGATTAGCGGTTCAAAACCATGAGCTGCTCCTTTGGAGAAAGACTGGGCTTTCTACTGCCATAAAGAGTTAAAGGCTCAGAAACTCACAGGAACAGTTCCTTTTTGCGGGGGGGTGGGGGGATTTGTGCATTTTCTTAATTTTCATCAATTAGAAAACCCTCTAAAATAATAGGAAACTCAAGTTAGTAAGAGGATACTGAAGCCTTCCATGGTAGTGCACTGGTGTCTCAGCTCCCTGCTGGTTTCAGGAGGGGTGAATAGCAGAAAAGAGAGCAACCAGCCCAGGAATCCTCCGGGGGCTGGTGCAGAGCCCTGCTCTCTGGAAGTCTCTGAACTCCGTTGAGTGTGGGAATACTAAATGAAAGGGGGCGGGGGTAGGGCCACCTGCTGAGGAGTGAGGTAGATGGAAGAGTAAAATAGGACAAGAACATGCAAAGTCTTAACTTGAAAAAATTCCTTTTAAAAATGAAAATCAGAAATCCTACAAAAGACATTACGGAGGGAACTGGCAAAATCTAAAAATGTGGCCTGCTCCCTGTTGGCCATGTTCTAGTTCCCAAAGGGGACCACTATGTCACTGCAGACTCCCAGCTGGGGACCTTATGCTCATCAGTTAAATCCTTAGGTATTCAGAGGTAAAGCAGCAGGGTTTCTTGGCTTCATTAATATTTAACAAACTGTGGGTGTAAATAAGGCCAACACTGCCCATGGGCAAGTCTGGGTAAATGATGCTATTCAGCAGCTTCTCTGAGATTTCCCGTTTCCCCCCTCAGATGCCAGAGGGAGGCTGGGTGCTCTAGCCCCTTCATCCCCTAGTCCTGGGGCGGGGACCTCACCAAGAACCCAGAGAGAGTCATCTTGGTACAGGAACACTTTTCAGGCCCACCCTCTTGAGGCCCACATCCAGGATGCCCTCCAGGTTTGGGGCCAGTTCATGTAGCTCCTCATCCTCAGTAGCACACAAGGCCCAGTGCTCCCCCACCAGGACGAGCAGATCCCAATAGGCACCTGGCAATAGATGGATTCTATGGTGCCTGGCATGGATATCTTCTCATGCTGGGGTGGAGACAGGCTTTGCCAAGACTCCAGTCTGAGCTCCTCTGGTCACTTATTGGCATACAGGGTCCCTGAGATCCCACAGACCCTCCATTCAAGGTGCTCTGGGAGGGGTAGGCGTACCCAAGGATTTGTCTTCACTAAATCAGGGCAGCCACACTGCTCGGTAGCTCTTCAACCCTGGCACTGTGCATACCAGCTAACTGCAGGTTGAGAAGGCTGGTAACATTCAGGTCAAGTACCCCGGAGTTGTAGATAGGGGGGAGAGTGCTGTCCCAGAGAATAGGAGTGGGAACCATCGGCCCTTCCTGTCCCAGGTCCGGGTGGAGCAGCCAGCAGTCACCTATCCTCAGACTGGCCTGCATCTGCCCCTCAGGAGTCAGCCTGACTCTTGCTGAGAAGCTCCATGTGCTAGGCTTCATCTAGTATGGGCTGGCCACCCCCATGCCCCACCCCCCGCCACCTCTGACTCCCATTTCTTTTGCTTGAACTTGGGGAGACAGGGATATCAGGCTCCACTTCCATGGCCTCCTCTTCTAGAGTCTTCTTGAAGGCCACCTGGGCTGAGGACAGTGGGAGACCTGCTGGGGTAGGGGTCCCGGCTACAGGGGCTGGAGTGAGCCGTTACCCCTGCTTAAGGCCACTCACTGCTGCACCCCTCCCAGGACCACATAGGCAGCACCTCAAAATTCCACGGCCTCCTGGGGAATCCCTGCATTATTACTTCTCCAGAGGTGCATTCAAACCCACCACTTAAAGCCTTTCTGAGGGTCTTCGCTATTTTTGAAGAAGAAGACAGCAACACTGTCCTTCTAGACCATGGCCTAGAAGGTGAAGACCTCCTAGCACCCATGGCCCGGTGGTCTTGTTGAAGGCTTTGGGACCATACAGCCCTCTTGAGCTGGTGGCAGTTTGGGGTCCTGCACCCCAGCAGCCTGTATTCTGCGAGTCTTCCTGAAGTAGAACCCGCTGCAGCTGCAAGTTCCCTTCTCTCTTCCTCCTCGTGTTGCTGGTGGGGTTTTTCATCTGCTGGCTGTGGTCCCCATGTCTAGCAGCTAGGGCCCCTGGGTCGGCCAGCCAGGGAGCACCCACACAGGAACCCACTTGTGGTGCCCCGTAGACTTCCCCATCCCCACCCCCTGAAGCTTCTGCCTGGGACACTGCTGCCTCTGCAGACACCTGGAGCCCACCGGCCCTGTAGCTCTACAACCAGGGGCCTCCAGGAACAGTTCAACCTGACCTTTCAGGTTCTTCTGAGTCAACTTTGACTCCATGCCTGTAAGTTTTGTTTGTTTGCTCCCTTGTTTTGGTTGTAAATTCAGAAAAGAGCCCTGATAGCTTAGTGGGTTCCATACTGGGGTGCTAACTACAAGGTCAGAAGTTCAAAACCACCATTCACTCTGCAGGGAAAGGATGAGGCCTTTCAATTTTTAAAAATGGACAGCCTAGAAAAATCTATAGGGGCAGTTCTACTCCATCCTGTAGGGTCTCTATGAGGTGGAATCAACTCCAAGTCAGGGGATCCATTTGGGGTGGTTCTAGATCCAAGGGGTCCTGATGGGACAGTGGGATCAATGTTGGGCTGCTAAACACCAGACTGGCAGCTCGATCCCACCAGCCATCCCACTGGAGCAAGCAAGGTAAGGCTGTCTGCTTCCATAAATATTTACAGTCTCAGAAATCCTAAGAAGTAGTTTTACTCTGTCCTGTAATATTTCTAAGAGTCAGAATGACGCTGTGAGTGTGTTTGTTTCTTATAGAATTTTATTCTGCACCAGGCTTTCTGTAAGGGAAATATATGACAGTCTCGTCCCACAAAGACTTGCAGGCTTGCAGAGCCTGTGAGGCAGTTCTCTCTGTTCTATAGAGTTGTCGTGAGTCAGTCAACTCAACTGGGTGACAAAACTTTGGGGTTGTGGCTTCCGAGGGAATTTCTAACAGAGGAGTGGGAAAAAAATAATTGTTACTTGGAGATTTCAAAGGTGAAACCTTTCATAAAATATTTTATATTCCAGTAAGTAACAAGAACTATTGTTGCCTACAACTGGCTGTAGTTATATCAGTGTTCATTGATAAATATTTATTGTGACAATATTGAGTCTAAATTATTTATACACCCAGACAACTAGCTTATCACCTTTGGGCAAAGGTTGCTATACCTGTTGATAATTCATTGTCTGTGTGACTTTCATCAAGTAGACTCTCTCTTCCTGCCCATCATATTTCTGAGACTGACTTTCATGTCCTTGTTCCTGAGGCTGTAGATGAAAGGGTTCACCATGGGGGTCACCGCCGTGTACATCACAGCAGCTGCAATGTCATTCTCAGCCGAGTGGGTGGATGACAGGCTGAAATACACAGCAAAGACAATGCCATAGAAGAAGGACAACACAGACAGGTGGGAGCCACAGGTGGAGAAGGCTTTCCATCTACCCTTTGCTGATGAAATTTTCAGAACATCACAGGTGATACAAAAGTAGGAAACCAGAATGCAAATCAATGGGGTGATCATGATCTGACCCCCTTCAGTGAGAATCACCATCTCACTAATGTGTGTATCAGAGCAGGTGAGTTTCAGGAGAGGAGCCACATCACAGAAGAAGTGGGAGATCCTGTTGTATGCACAGAATGAGAGTCCAGCTGTCAGCAGAGTGTACAAGAGAGCATGCAGGTTGGCAATGACCCAATACCCAGAGACCATCAGGGCACAGAGCTGAGGGGTCATCTTTGTTGTGTAGTGTAAGGGGTGACACACAGCAACAAAGAGGTCATAAGCCATCACAGCCAGGAGGCAATGGTCCATATTTATAAAAGCAATGAAAAAATACATCTGTGTGAGACAACCAGGGTAAGAGATGGTCTGACTCCCAAGGATGTGGTTGACCAGCGTCTTGGGGATAGTGGTAGATGTGAAGCAAATTTCCACGAACAACAGGTTGCTGAGGAAGAAGTACATGGGGTTGTGCAGGTGGGCATCCATGCTGATGGCCAGGATAATGAGCAGATTTCCCAGGACTGAGGCCAGGTACATGCTCAGGAAGAGCATGAAGAGGAGCTGCTGCTGCTGCTGCTGCTCGGGCTCCCTGGAGAGCCACAGGAGGAGGAACTCAGAGGCACTCAACTGGTTTGCTCCAGTCATAGATCTAGGATCACAGGCAGAGAAGAGAGAGAATGGGCAGAAACCTAGGAGTGGAGAGTTCTGCAGGGACAAGTCAGGCTCCAGCTATGGGCTTGTTTACTTTATCAGAGTTGCTCAGTCAGAATCTGCCCCCTGTCCCTACTCCACCAACTTCTGACTCCCAGTTTTAAGTGATGGTGGACCCACTTGATTCATATTTTATATCTTATAAAAAATAACACAAAACAGGTACAGGTGCATGCTCAGCGCATCTCTGTGACAGTGGTTGTTTCGGTGAACATTTCCCAGTCTGTTTTTCTGTCTTCAGTAACTCATAAAAAGGCAAGAGAATAAAAATTCTATGAGCCCCCAATAAAATGATTTCTTTTAAAGACAAGAGAAATAGCTGATTACTATTGAGTTTATCTCAATATACAGTACATGGATCTAGTACTCCTATTAATGTTACCTGGATCTGCAAGATTTAACAAAGGGAGTTCCTAAAAGAACTTCTTGTCTTACAAAGCAATATTTATATCTCTTTGGCAATGAGCTTACCCAAGAGAAGTTGGTATCATAGCAATCATGTGTTCTCCACCTCTCTGTGACTGCTCAATCCTTCTATACGTTGTGGGGACTAGAAAGCCTTGGAATTGTAAGTGGGTCCTGAACAAGTGAGGGGCAGGGATTCTTGGTCTTACCCCTTTGTGCAGGGAAGCTGTTTGGGGGAATCACAGAGAGGCATTTACAGAGTCACCATGACCCTTGGGACCATATTGAGTATTTGTAACTCCTGAGTCAGAACTTGTAGATGAAAAGATCTTGGAGAAAAATCCCAAGGATCCCTAAGATCTTAAATCTCATCACTTTGCTGATGTGGGATTATCTCTATGATTTAGAAATTTAGCTCCTAAATATTTTTGTTCTTACTTTATAAGCTCAGCAACTTGGGTTATTGTATTGTTGCTGTGTAAGCCTATTTGTATTGTTTGGTTTTTGTCTTCAGGTCTAGTCATCTGCATAGGCTTACTGATATGGTAAGAAGATGGTAGAATTCTTCTATCTCATTATCAGTGGCTTTAGAGGTTGGTGAGTAAATTTGAATAATAGTTGTATTAACTGGACTGCATCATTGGTGTATTGTCCTGTCACAGACAGCATTGTACTTCAAGATAGATCCTAAAATGTTCTTGTCGATGATAAATGTGATGCAATGCCTCCTGATTTGGCATCTCTGGCTTAGAAAGCTATATGACTAACCAACTCACAGCCAATACCAAATTGCCCAAAAACTACCAATACAATCCATTTCAGCTCACTAATGCCAAAGATACTGATTTTTATGAAGTCTATTTAATTTTTTATGATTTCCAATTTCCCTAGATTCTTACTGTATATATTCCCTTTTGAAATTACTAATGGGTGTTTGAATCTGTTTATTCTCATCTTCAGTTGTACCCCATCCACACCACAAGGTCCTCAAAGATGTACTCCATACATATTATTATGGTTGCTTCTAACTTGAAAAGACAGCATTTCTCCAGCCATACTTTGAGTGCCTTCCAACATGAGGGGCTCATCCTACAACATGATCTCTGACAAATTTCAGCTGCCACTTGCGATATTTTCTATGGCTCATCCCTCAGATGTGGAAGCATATTCCTTCTCCATAATCTGTTCTTAGTCTGGACGCTCTGCTGAAACCTGTTCACTTTGAGGGAACCTACTGGTATTTGAAATACTGGTGGCATAGCATACAGCATCACACCAGTCACCATAGTATGACCAACACAGTCCCATTTATGGTACATCATTCCCACCCCCAACTCCATTGAGGATACAGCTTGAATTAAATAATTGTTTTCCTTGAGTCTGAGGGCCTGCCAGTCATTACTCAGAAGGCTTAACTAAAACCCATCCAGAAGTTGAAAACATTCTTGACTCATGGACTACAAAGCAAAAGATACAAATGCAAAACAAACAAACAAAAAAGATACAAATGCTAACCCAGAAGGAGCAAGAGGCTGAAGAATTTATTGTTGGCTTCTTAGAGGGGGTTCAAGAACATTTCTGGTCACTGGATACATTCTCACTTCACTTATTGTTGTTAATTACAATGCATAGTGTTATTTATTTTCAGGTTGTTATGGCTCTGAGAAGTACAGGATTTTAAGGATGCCTTTAATTCCAGAAACCAAAGGAAAAATCTCATTGCCATAGAGTTGATCCCAAATCATAGTGACCCTGTATAGAGTTTCCCAAACTTCAAAACTTTAAGGAAGGAAGCAGCCTTCAATTTCTCTGACAAGGGGCTGGTGGACTTGAAGTGTTGTCTGGGTACTTAATAGCCAACACTTAATCCACAGCACCACCAGGGATCCTTAAGAAAAAAACTTATTTCATTTAATGAAGTTTATTCTTTAATATTTATATTGTGAATTAGGTGAAGGTTTACAGGGCAGATAATCAGTTTTCCACTGGACAATTCATACATGTTGTGACCCAGCTCATCCATTGCAATTTCCCTCAATGCATCCCTGCTGATCCTACTTCCTCTCTCTTTCCACTTTCCATTCCTCCTTCTTCATGAATGCTCAGACCTTCATCCTTGTGTCCATGCTGCTCCTTTGATCTGAAATTATTGGTCATCCAAACACAGAGGTGAGTTAAGTCCAACATGAAGGGTAAGGGTTATATACAATGTTAGGGTTGCCACCAGTCTCTATAAGATCAATAAGCTTTGTCCCTTTTATGATTTTCAGGCCTGTTTCGCATTTTTCTGCTACTTTATCCAAACCTTCCTAATTAGATACTATTCAGATCAGTTGGTAGCAGCAGTGAGGTACCATCTAGTTCTTCTGGTCTTGAATAAAAGCCAGGTCCCTGCCTGCTGCCAAAGTCAAGCCAAAGTCTTCCAAACACAAGTTACAGGCAAGGAGAAAGACAGTTTCATTGTGAGATCAATAACATAAGGAGACAGAGGGATTGCTTTCTCAAACTGACTCTTAGAATGGAGACAGGAGGGGATATCTATAGCTATCTAGCTATAGATAGATAGATAGATAGAGAGAGAGATAGAGAGATAGATAGATAGATAGATAGATAGATAGATGATAGATAGATAGATAGATAGATATAGATATCTAGCTATAGATATAGATATAGATATAGATAT